TACAGTGTAAGAGGCCTTTCTAACAGTGAGTTGGAGAGTCACACGACATGTAGTTATTGAATGCCTGCTACATTTCATATATTATAATAGGCTCTGGGGGATGTGAGGTCAGTTTGAAGACCAATGAGACATATTTTTCTATCTCTGTATGTTTACATGTTGGATATTTGTATGTAGAGGTAATTTAAAAATTTTTAAATAGGATGTTAGAAGGGTATGTTTCATCAAAATGAAATTTGATTTCATTTACTACTATGTTCATTTATTTAATACTATGTTCCAAATCATTTCATTTTGTGAAATGTGGCATAAAACAATGCCTCCACATCACCTTTCTTTTGCTATTTCTCTATTTTTTTCTACCTAAATTGGCTTGAATCCCATTAAAAGCAACTTACCATTTATAAATAAACTATAGAAAAGTGGGCCATGACAAATATTCTCCCCCAATGGCTTTGCAATTCAAATAAAAATCCAGGTTATAGTAGTTCTTCTGGAAGAATAGTTCTTACTTGATGTAAGTTTTCAGAGCATTCATATTCAGCCAAGGTTTTGAACAAAGACATTAATATAACCTGCTGCTTTGAAAATTACCAATACCATCCTGGATTCAAGAATCTGGAAACAGTAGGAATCAAAACATAACTGATTTGTGCACTGGGTTAATTGGACTTCAGATTTTTTAGCCCTTGACTACACATTCATAATCTCAAGGACAAATCTTGAGGACACCAATCAGGACCCTTTGCCTGCTTGGGTCAGAACTTCCCAAATCTACTTTTAAAAAGATTGCCACTTTTACAGTAAAAATTAATCTCCTTTGCATCTGCTGACATTCAGCAGTTTCTGGCTAGTCCAAACTCCTTTTTAGTCTTCCTCTAATTTCTTCAGGGTCCTATAATCATTGGAGACAAGAAAGTTGACTCTGAAATACCCTTTGAGGAAGACACTATTGAATGCATGTTAAAGAAGTCATTGATAGGCTACACTCTGCTTGGGCCTTTGGTTGGTTTTGTTAGCAGTGCCTCTAGCTCATCTGCTCCTTGCACGAGCAGTGAATGACTGGCCTCGGAACCAGTTTTCTGCAACATTTTCTAGAGCGTCAAATGGAGCCACCACAGCAGGGCCCCTCAGCAGAGGGCAGCCCTGTGTCTTTGGGAATGGCAGGTGTGGACTCCTGCAGAAGCTGATGCCTCAGCGCAAAAGGCAAGAAGTGTGGGCTGGAAGCCCCTCCCTCTCCGCTATCTTTTCAATCAGAAGAGTCCTACTGTAGGAAGTTTGCCTGGAAAGTTCTAGAAGCAAGGACATCCGGACTGAGGTCTTTCTATACCGCTGATACTACTTCCTTGGAGATGAGGTTTATTCACCTTGACTCTGAGGGGAAGTGGCCTGTCTTGCTCTAGCACCCTGGGCCTGAAGGATAAGGAGTTATTACAGGAATAGTGTTTGTCCTTCACATGTGCATGACCTTTTCAGTCTGGAATTTATCCTAATGTCCTTCATGCAGAGAGGAGCCAACTGTGAGCTTCCCCTCATTAGTGGACTCCCAAGTCCATTAACATTTTCTCAGCAACCCCTAGCCTCTCCTGGAGTGTAAGCTACATGGTGGGTCTGGAAATAATCATGCTCATGTGGTGAGTAGTATTAACTCCCCAGAGGCCTCACCCTCACCCTCCTGTTTACTTTAAGATGAACATGGTCAAAGTCTTCCTAACACGTTTCAATTTTGCACAGAGAGAGGAAGCCCTGGAGTAGGCATTTTACTAAAATATGAAATGGATGTTTTGATTCTTAACTTGCAATGGGGGCTCTTAGCAAGTTGAGAGGCTAAGATTGGAATTTCCCTTCCACCATGTCTTTGGCCCGGGGGCATTTTACGTTGCCTGTAGAAAGTGGAGAGGAAGAGGCCAGATTCCTCTGTCCCTGGAGTCACTCTAGCCCTTTTAATTGTTTCCTTTTGGTCATGTGCTCAAAGAATGTGTGCAAGCAGCCAGATGAGCCATGGTCCCGGGGGACTGCAGGGTGATTCCCTCAACGTAGGCAACGTGCGGTCTTGCTCATGAAGTGCCCCTATACGTTGCCTTTCCTGATCTGCACTTTGGCGTGGGCTTCGGTTATGGGACATGTTAATCGCTTGCTGTCACAGTGATATGCTGCCTGACACGCCAAGTGTCTATCCTCTCCGGCCTGATGATCTCACCGAGGGACTTTCAGTAGGTCATCAGGGCTTCCTTCCTTCTTGATTTTCTTGTAAGCAGGGCCCAGGGATTTCCAAATAGAACTGAGCACATTGCTCACTTTCTTGCCCGTCCCTTCCACAGAGGAATGTGATGACAAGCAGCCCCTGACCAGCAAAGAGGAGGAGGAGAGGCGCATTGCGGAAATGGGGCGCCCTATCCTGGGAGAGCACACCAAGCTGGAAGTGATCATTGAAGAATCCTATGAATTCAAGGTACGCTTACCAACACCACCCAAGAGGTGAGGGCCATCCTGGGACTATGACTGTCATAGTGTTGGACTGTCCTGTCAGATCCTTCGGGAAAGAGAGGCAGATGTACTTTCAAGAACTTGCTCATTAATTGAGAGGCTTTCCAAGCAGAATTGGAATTAGAGGGTTAACAGGGAACGCAGAGGTCCTACAAACCAAACAGTATCAGAGCCAGGGTTTGGTGCGTGGCATTGGTCACTGCATCGGGTCAGAGGTGACCCAAAGGGAGGGCTTTGTCTGAGCAGACAACAAGGAAGAAGCAAAGGTGGGTTCTAAGAGACTGTTATATGTGGAAGAAACCTAGCTCTATTTCAAGACGCTAATAAATCTATTAGAAGCAAAGCATCCACACTAAAATTTAGCTGGCTTTTGTTAGGTGCTGAAAATCAGGAGGGTTTTGTTTCGGAGGAGAGGTGGTAAGCTCTCCCTATGGAACCTCCAATTAACAAGCTCTGATTTGTATTTCATCATCCTCTTAGGATCCCAGGACTCTTTAGCACAGCCAACATACTGAAAGTATAGTGCCTGTAATCTGAGTTTATAATGGAACTGATAACACTGGATTCCCAGTTCTCTAGATAATGGGAGTTATTTTTCAGAAGTTAAACAAATGGGCCTTAGGGTGAGCTTAGGACTTTGAGGTGCAATTTCCTGTCCATTCTTAGAGGCTTCCTCTGGTCCTAACTCCGCCTCACATCCCGCCTCACTCACATGGCTCTACCATCTGAGACGGCCTCAGCAGAGCCCCAACTTAGTTCCGTGGTGGGACATGAAAAGCAGCTTCCTTTCTCTGGCTTCCCAGAAACGGCAAACCCAGGGCACAGCACCACTTCCCCCACTTATTTTCCAAAACCAGACGCTGCTCCTGTCTGGAAAACCAAAAGTAGGATTCTAAAAGGGAGAATCAGGCCACCAACATAGAAGCCTCAGTATTGTATCTGGATTTTTCATCATTGTGGCCTCTTTTCTTTTAGCTGGGGCCATTAATTATTTTTTTAATTTAGTTCACAAATTGAGGTAGCTGATATGAGACAGGTGGAGAGAAAAATGTCTTTGCAATTAAAGTAGAATTTTTAAAAGATAAAAATGCAATTAAACCATTCCCTCCAGGCGACTGAAAATCTGTTAACTCTTCCTTTCACTCATTCCCATAGAAAGAGCAAGCAGAGGTCAGCACCTGGATCAGTGCTTTCCAGGCAGCCCCCAACCCTCACAGCCCACCCGCTGTTTGATCTGGAACCTGACCCACTGCATGCACATGACTAGTACACACACAAGCTCCCTGCAATTCTAGGGGTACAGATACCTCAGACTGTCCATTGCTATGGACCAGTCTGTCCAGATGTGTCACTCTTTCTTTTGCACCTTCTTTTCATCTGGAATCAGGGGGCCTGGTGCCACTTGCTGCAGCAGAGAGTCGATGGCTTGGTATTTCTGTACAAGGTTGTCCCACACCCCTCCCAGGTCACTCATCGGGAACTGTGTTCTCTCCCTTGTGGGACAAGCCTTCCACGCACTGGTGACTAGGAAGAGTCATCACAGTAACTCCCTGTAGGAAGCACCGGGTTGGGTATGGCATCGCACCATCTACTTGGCACCAATGCTTTCTGGAGTCCAGAGGCCTCCCTGGTAACCACTCCCATGATCTGAGCGTTTGAAAGTCCCCCCAGTCTCTTTACATAAGTTTGTTTGGGGTGCTTATCTTCCTAGAATAATTCCCATAGACTATTTCCTCCTATCTCCTTAAAATTCATCAGTACAATCACTGTTGTCACTAAAGGGCACTTTGGGGACATCTTTCTGAAGTATTCTCAAGTATCAATGTTGATATTATATTATTCTTTTGAGAAATTTATTTTTCTAGATGATGGCTATTTTAAAGAACTTGTTCAAAGTTCTCGGAATGGCATTTAAAGATCCAAATCTGGGTAACACCTCACAGTGTCCCACTCTGCTTTGCCAACTGGGTTCTTGTTTACTGAGGCTTGGCTTTCCTGAAACCCATTGCTGAGGTGAGGTTATAACAATGGCTTCCAAGTCTAGGGCAGTAAAGCGTTAACCACTGGCATATAGGAAACCTACATGTAAATATAGATGGCAACGTCCAAGTTAAAGTGTCAGAACTTCAAATTCATCTTATTCGCTCCCCTTCCTCCCATAGGTCAGGGGAGGACACATATGCAAATTAAGCCCTAGGAAGAACCCAAGCTATCCCATAGTCCCTCAGGGTTAACATAAACTAAAGTTTACAATCTACCCTGGGTTTTACATTTTAAATTTAGTTTATCTTAAAACTTCATTCTTTGGAGATATTCCTTCAGGCAAGTCTGCATTCAACTGTTAGACCAGTTTATCGGTTCAGTTATTTATCTTCTGGTGATAAACATGGGATTCTCTGCCTTGGCTTCAGAACAAAGAGGTCTCCTTTGGAAAGACCCGCCCCAAGTTTCCATTACGTTTAGGAAAACTCAGGGTCATTTCTTGTTATAGTCTACACAGAACTTTGAATTGGCATCAACTAGGACTCTCAGAGTGCTGGATAAAATGTGGCTGAATCGAGAGAGAAAAGGCAGATGCTTGACATGTGCTTTAATTTATGGTGGCCAAGAGCAGTGATGGTCACCACTATTATCAGGGGCACTAAGCAGTTTTAGACACAAGGCCAGAGGCTAAAAGGTCATCGTCTCCAGGACAAACAAGCCAGCAAAGAACGATGTTGGAAATCCAGAGTGAGCCAGCTGGAGATGGGCCCTCTCATGTGATCATCTCAATGTTTCAAATTAGTTGAAATGACTCTTGTTGAACTAACATACTTGACATTGTGATTTAGCTTTGGCTATTGGTACAGGCCCCTCAGATCGCATTGTTTTTTTCCCTCCCAGTTAGCTAATAACGTGTCCTCTCAAATCATAGTCAATTCAGGTACACCGCCTTAAACATGTACAGAGTTTGACCTAAGACAAATAATATGTGTTTTTTGCCTCTTCACAATTAGTGGGAATTCGAGAATGCTCTGACAGTAAGTGTGGATGTTTGGTAGACGAGTCAATGCGGTAGTTCACCTGGGAAGAGCAGCCTCATGTCCTGGAAGGGACCCTTCTCCCTGTAGTTGCTATGATTTGTGGTAGTGCTTTGGGTGCTTCTGCTTACTTAGTTTTCTTGTAAACGCTTGGCTGCTCCTGTTGTCACATTAACTGACAATTAGAAAGCTAGAGTGCTAATTGTAACAAAACCAAGTGCTTAAAAAAGGTCGAAAGAACAATAAGAGGTTCAGTGTTCCTAAAGCAGGGGAAAATTCAATGCAAGGTAAATTGCAATGTGCTGTAAACCATATGCATTGACCTTTCCTTGTCTTGTTTTTTCTTGTTTGCAACAGGAGTAGGGGTGAGAGTGAATTCTCTAATAGCCACCAGGCTGACAAAAGCAGTAGCCAAACAAAAGTCCTTTTATGGTTGATTATGCAACAGCAATCTTGAGCCTCTGCTATCTGACTGCCTTACGTCGATAAACACAAGTGCAATACCAGTTTTTAGTTTCATAGCCTGTCTTCCATATCTGGTTATTCACAGATATGTAACACTGAGCAGGGCATATGTTAATTCAGTTGCAGACAGCACGCTAGGGATGGTGCCAGTAGACAAGCAAGTTCATAAAGCATTCAGGGGAAGGGAACGGACTTTTTGCAGCATCTGCTATTCTAAACACTGAGGCCATTCTTCATTGGCCATTAGGCAGTGAAGGAGGCTTGTATTTGCTATGAAGTTTCCATTTCGGTATGTTTCCAAGTAAGGACTATGCCTGTTTGCATAATCATCACAGTGTTTGATGTCAATACTGTTGTTCTGAGCCTAACATCTGCTGTCTTTTATATAACTCCAGGGTTTCAAAATCAACGAGGTCTTAGATTTTCCAAGGCCTTAACTAACCCAGCGGTTACTATCTTCTTTTCAACCTTTCCAGAGTACCGTGGACAAACTTATTAAGAAGACGAACCTAGCCCTCGTGGTTGGGACAAACAGCTGGAGAGAGCAGTTTATTGAAGCTATCACTGTCAGTGCTGGTGAGTGCCTTTCTCTGCATGTTATCAATTAAGATGGCCTGAGCTGAGCTTACTTCTCCTACTGTGACCACTTGATCTATGTCAAAGCCTAAGAAATTCCATGACAAAAATTAAAAGAGAAGTAAATGTATCAGTAGCATGTATGCACATTTTGGAGACTAATTTAGACTTTCTGGATGAAGAAAATGTCCTCAAACATGACATTCCTCTCCATCTACAGTGTATCTTTCTCCCTGGAAATAGACAAGATAAATTTAAAGCCTTTGTGTCTCTATCTAACGAGTAGCCAATCATAAGGCTTTGTCTGGAAAATTCCCTGCCAGCTGAAGTGGCCAAGTGAAGGTCACAAAAGAAACAGCAAAATCATAGGTGAGACAGGATGGCATTAAGACACTTCGCCACTACCATCTGCATCATTTTACACGCCCTTCAACAACGTCTAGCGAAGAAGTGCCTGCAT